AGACCTCAAACTCCTGAACTCAAGTGACCCTACTGCCTCAGCCTCCTGAGTAGCTGCAACTGCATGTGCCACCACAAAGCCCAGCTAATTTTTTTCTATTTTTAGTAGAGGTGGGGCCTCCCCCCTTTCTTAGGTTGGTCTCAAACTCCTGAGCTCAAGGGATCCTCATGCCTTGGCCTCTCAAAGTGCTAGGATTATAGGAGGGAGCCACTGCACTGGCTGAGCCTTAGAACATTTTTAAAGAGCCTGCATGTGACATTAATATGAGGTCAACATTTTAATGTTTGCCAAAATACTTCCACAAAAACAGGTAAAAACATTTTGGGTTTCTTTGCAAAAATAGAAAGAAAAAACAATAAGACATTTTCTAAAACTCACAGTGTAAGGGCAGTTAAATTTAACTTCTAGGTTGTCACATCATATATGTATAGCTACTTAGGCATGATTAAACAACATAAGAAGATATTTTTATATAAGTTTTTTTGGATATCAACTGATTTTGCAAACATCCTATTTTAGTCAAACAAATAGACTCAAATTCATTAATAATTTGTAAAAATGGTAATGCTAATATGTGTGTATAAAGCATAGGGAATGTTTGTCTAAAAATCATGTAAGTGATTTTTACATAGTCAAAGTAGTATATCAAAATCACTGATCTATTTTGATTAGGGCTATACACATTGATTTTGTCTTGTAATTTAAAAGAAAGTAAAAAGAAATAAAACAAGCCATCAAATCCCCAGCTTATGTAACAAATCCCAACATAATTTTTAATGAAGGTGACCCATCTCCCTCATAAACTGTCCATTTTAGAGAAAGAGACAAAGATATAAATAGTACCTTACTATGACAACTGGACTTTTCAGTCAGGTCAGGAGACTGAGATCTGTTTCTGGGACTAGGCCATTCTTCTCCAATCAAAGATGTCCTCAAGGAGACCTTATTTAGCTGCTGAATGTATAAGAAGAGCAGAAACTGTAGGGTGTCCACTGAAAGCTATCCAAGAAGAAAACAAATGATGAGTATATGCCATATTTATTTTTTTTTAATTTTTCTCAACGTCAGTAGAAAAGCAAAACGTGTGTCTTAAAACAATATCTTTCACTAATCTATAACTAAGCAGACACAGTAAATTCACAACAGTTTGCTGATCCTATGAAAACAGTTCAAAAACACTGCTAGCGTGTGATATGTTGCCTCTGATACACAGATGTAGGAGTTTCCAAAACTAAGTAAAGTGGAGTCCTTTATCTTCGTAGAAAGCTGGAGAGCATCTATGGCCATAGAAATTCTCTCCCAACAGAAGAGGAGATGAGAGAAAAGGATGAAGTATACACGTTTCTAACGCACATTATTTCATAAGTTTAGAGTTACAGTTAAAAAAGCACCTTAATAAATTTGAATAAATAAATGAACAGATGGAAGAGAGGAAGAAGGAAATTCAGTCAAGACAGGTTTAACCTAAGGTCCACAGTCTTAGGTTAAACTATCAAGAAAGTTTAGGGTATCAATGCAACTTCTGAAATTATGTGTATTTTTTGTGTATGTGCATTTTGTGGAGGAGTAGGCTTTAGAT